AAGGATTACCAGTCAGACCTCTGAGGAGGGCCTCTACTAACAAGGCTATACCAAATTGAAAAATAAGTTAGAAGAAACACACTATGCAAAGAAAGCTTTAAAGAAACTCTCTTTAACATCCTCAAGATAGAAGAGAGAAAATATGATTTTCATGAAACAAGAAGAGATGAGGGCTGGAGTTGTAGCTCAATGGCAGAGCACTTGTCTAGCATTTATGAGGCATTGGGTTCAATCCTTAGTACCGCATAAAAATAAACAAATAAAATAAAGCTATGCTATCCATCTACAACCATAAAAAGGTTTTTTTTAAAAAAAATAAATTTTAAAAAAGAGAGGGGAGGTGCTGTCTGAACAGAGGGAAGGAAACCGAAACCATCAACCTACAAAAGGGACTATGGACAAGAAGTAGGTTAACTGGCTCACACACACAGCCCCAGAGAGGATCGGACCTGGAAATCTCCAGGTTAGTGTTGGAGGGGCCTGAGCCTAAAGAGAAGACAAGATATTTAAAGTCTATATAAGGCACAATTGGGTCCTCTAGGTTCCCTTTTTTACTACCATCCCTATAATTTCATAATTTATTCTAAGAAACCTGATCTGGAGAGACTCCAGACTCAAGAATAGAGTGAGGATCAAAATTTAAAGCCAAAGGATTAAGCAGAAGTGTTTTTATTGAATAGCCTCCACCCATAGCTCACTTCCTTTATCCAGCTCTCAAACATTAGAATGCAGGCATAACAGTACTGCTCCCCTATCAACAGGGGATACATTCCGAGACCTCTAATAGACACCTGAAATCTCAGCAATCCATTTTCCACCCTATAATTTAATCCATCGTCTACCCTAACTAAGCACTTATCATACACATGGCTGTAGCTTTTGCTGTTTTGAATTGCTACTGCAAAACTAACACAAATTTCTTTTTCCTTTGCAATTTTACAAATAGATTTGTTCTTACTGTAGATCTTAGCAACTTCATTATATGATTTTTTTTCTTATTAAGTCAAGAATTTGTAGCTTTTCATACAAAGGTACTTTCCTGTTTTGCTTTAGCATATCCAAATTGCCAGTATCACTACTCTTGTACTAGGGGCCAGTCTGAGATAAAACAAGGGGCCCTTGAAGAACACAAGCACTGTAATACCAAGATAGTCAATCTGATAATCCAAAGGGCTACTAAGTGACTAACGGAGTAAACAGCCTGGAGATGCTGAATAAAGGGATGATTCACATCCCACTTAGATGGAGCAGGTCAGCTTGATATTTCATCATGCTACTTAAAATAACATGAAGTTTAAAACTTATAAATTGCTCAATTCTGGGCTTTTTTCATGTAATATTTTCATACTCTGGTTGACCAAGGGCAACTGAAACCTCAGAACATAACACAGTGGATAAAGGGAGACCACTGTACACTGTCCCGCACTCCCAATTTGATTGGTTGATTTAGGTACTTGGAACTAAACCCAGGGGCTATCTACCAGCGAGCTACCAGCCCTTTCTATTTTTTGAGACAGCATCTTTGCTGGCCTGGAACTTGCAATTTTCCTGTTGCCTCGGCCTCCCAAATTGCTGGAATTCTAGGTATGTACCACCACTATTCTTGAGTTTATAGTCTAGTTGGAGAACTAAAAATTAAAGACCACCGTCCTCTATTAGAAGAAGTTCTATAATGGAAATTGGTTTGGTTACATGCAAAAAGGGCATCTAAATCAAAGAAAAAATATCAGCTACATGTCTATATGCTTGCCACAAGTGTTTTTAATATCATTAACAACAACATCAAAAAACATCAAATATCTAAGTAATGACATAAGATGTGCTGGGCTTCCACAGAGAACTATAAAACATTACCCAGTGAAATTTGGAAAGACCAAAATAAATGGAAAAATATGCCACATTCATAAAATGAAGAATTCAACACTGTTAAAATATCAATTCTTCCCAAGTTGATATATAGCTTTAATTCCAATTTCAAAATTTATTCAAACTGACAAGCAGATTCTGAAACATGGAAATTCTGAGCCAAGAGCAATCCAGGCAATCTTTTTTTGTTTTTATTTTTAGTTGTCAATGGACTTTATTTATTTAGATGCAGTGCTGAGAATCAAACCCAAAGCCTCACACATGCTAGGCAAGTGCTCTAGCACTGAGCCACAACCCCAGCCCAAACCAGACAATCTTAAGAAACAAAACAAAGTTGGAGTGTTTATCCCACCATATACCAAGGCCAATTTCAGAGTTACATTAATACAGTGATATTAGTACAAAGATAACAGACAAATGAAACAGAATGGAATGTCCAGAAACAGACCCACATTTATATGGTCATCTGATTTATTTTTGTTGTTTGTGTCACTAGGATTCAAATCCAGGCCCCACGCATGCTAAACGTGGGCTCTATCACCAGGCTACCCAGTCCAATCATCTGTTTGTGAAAAGAAGTGCCACACAGTGCAGAAAGGTGGCATTTTTAATAAGAGATGCTGTGTCAAATATACAATAATAGAGTAAAAATTGCATATTGACTACTACAATCCATCTAGAATTCACTATTATGTATGCCTTAAATAAGAAAAATAAAAGAGAATTTCTATAATGTAACATGGGAAAATATCTTCATATTCTTAGGGTAGGTACAGACTTTTAAAACAGGATACAAAAAATAAGTAACCATAAAGAAAAAGACTGATAAAATATCTTGCATCAAAATAAAAATTATTGGGGCTGTGGTTGTGGCTCAGGGGTAGAATGCTCACCTAGCACATCGGAGGCTCTGGGTTCGAGCCTCAGCACCAAATAAAATAAAGGTATTGTGTCCATCAACAACTAAAAAATAAATATTTAAAAAAATTTTAAACTATTCATGGAGCTGGGATTGGGCTCAGTGGTAGAGCGCTTGCCTGGCACGTGTGAAGCACTGGGTTTGAGCCTCAGCACCACATAAATGAATAAATTAAAGATACTATGTCCATCTACAACTAAAAAAAAAAATTTTTAATTAAGACTATTCATGAAAAAACACCATTAAAGGAATGAAAAGGCAGGGCAAAAGGTATAGATAACTCAGTGGTAATGCCTGCCCAGCATGCCCCAGACCCTGAATTCAATATCCAGCACCATTGAAACATAAATATATATGAAATATGAAATGGCAAAATAAGAAGAGGAAAAAGAGAAATACATAAATGGGCATGTATGTGTATACACACACACATAAATACATAATTCACATACATACAGAGAGAGGGAAAGGGAAAGGACTCATAACCAGAATAAAGAATTACAAATGGAGCATGGTGCCAGGGCACAGGCCTATAATCTCAGCAGCTCAGGAAGCTGAAGCAGGAAGATCCCCAAGTTCAAGGCCAGTCTCAGCAACTTAGCAAGAGCCTGTCTCAAAAAAAAAAAAAAAAAAAAAAAAAATTTAAAGGGCTAGGGATGTAGCTCAGTGGTAAAGTGCCCCTGGATTAAATCCTGAGTACCCCTCCCTCCAACAAAATTATAAATGGGGGCTGGGAATGTAACTCAGTGGTAGAGTGCTCTCCCTAGCATGGGAGGTACCGCAAAAAATAAAAAGTACAAATCAATACAAAAATAAGCATACAATAAAAACTTATTATTAACAGAGACTTCACAAAAGACATATATGGATGGCCAATAAAGGATGCACAACCTCAATCACCAGGAAAATGTAAAATAAAGCTACAATGATATAGTGCTGCACCTCTATGAGAATAGCAACAATCAATAAGGACTTGAGGTAACTGGAATATATATCACTCCCTGCTTATTGGTACAATCACTTTGGGAAAATATCCTAAAGTGACTAAAATTTTAGCATTAATATGACTCAAAAGCCAACAATTCCACTTTTTGGTATACACTCCAACCTAATAATGTTCTATTTCTTGATCTGTGATGCTCACTTAGTAAAAACTCATTACCTGTACACTTAGGATTGTTAACTTTTTCCGCATATTATATTTCAATAAGTTTTCTAAGATTTGACACATAGTTGGCAGAGATCTTAAAAAGTCAGCATACTAGAATTGGGGGGAAAAAAAGTTTGGTACACTGATGAAACTTTACGAATAAAATTWAAAAAAAAAAGAAAGCTAATAAAACCCAGCCCAGAAACAAAGATAAAAACTATCAACAGATCATTTTTCTCTAACTTCAAGAAGCACTAGAATTCATTCTTTCAGCAAAGAATGGAGTTTATTATTTTACACTGTAACCCAAGGAAAAGATATCTTTGCAAGAAAACGCTGCTGTTTTTGAAAACCACCTTTAATAGTATGGATAGGGGAAACCTTCCGAAAGTGTTGGCTAACTATTTGGTGAAAAGATGCCACCTGAGATGATCTAAGAGAAATCACAGCAACTCTAAAGCCGACACCAACACCACAATCCAACTACCGGAAATCCTGCGGTTAATCTGAGGCTTGCCCCGCTAGTCATAAGGTGATTCAGTGTTGGTTACTAACGCACCTTAACTGCATCCTTAGGAGTCAGTCACCTGGCATACCAGGCTTTCCCATCACCTGCCTGGAGCGACCGACAAGCGCAAAATCCCGGAGGTCAAATACAGACAGCAACTTTGCAGGTAAGGGGAGCGGACGGTCGCGCCCCTCAGGTTGCAGAGAAGGAACCCACTCTGGCCTCCGGGCAGACAAGAATTGTCACTATCCCCCAAAGGATGCGGGAGGAAGTACCCCCCGAAGCCGGTCCGTCCCTCCACCTCCCGCGAACTCCACAAGAAGATGGGCCGGCGAGTTTCTGCCCCCGCGCCCACAGGAGGAGGGTCGCCTGCGACAGCGAGTGGCGAAAAGGCGAACCCAAGGAACTTAGGCCCCGGCGGGGCCGGACGCGCCCGCCCGCCCTCCCGCTTGCGCGGCAAGTTTGGCGGCTGTCCGCGTTCGCCGCCCCTTGGCCCAGCTGTACGCTCCGCAGAACCGGGACTCGAGGCCCGCCCGGCCTGGCGCAGTGCCCCTCACCTTGGAAACGTTGGGTGGACTTCGCCGTAAACATTAACTTCCCATCCAGCCGGCAGCCGCGCCGCCTCGGCCCTGCTCCCGACTCCGCGCGCCGCTTTCCCCGCGTTCTCAGATGCACGGCTCTCACTCCGGAACTCAGGGCCGCCTCGCGACTCTCACCCACCCCGCTGGGCAAAGCCGCCGACTCCACCGCCCAGCCCCAAGCCTGCCCGCTCGTCAGCTCCGCCGGGGTCCGGCGCGGCCGCGTCAGGAAAGCCCAAGGCGCAGGCGCGGCAGGGCCTTAAAGAGACCCGACCGCCTCTACCGCATAATGGGTTCGAGCAGGTTAGGGGCCCGGCGGGTTGGAAAAAAAAAAAAAAAAAGCAGAAGCCGAAGGGATTGGACCGAGTGGAGCGGGGGCGGGGAAATCCCTCTGTCCTCCGCCCCTCTTTCAGAGCACCAGCCCTCGGCTCTGCAAAATGCTGACTTCCCTCGTCACTTGAACCGCCCCTTCGATGTTAAAGCTGCAGAGGACACACCCCCTCGGGGCGGTAAGCCACCCGGCGCGGAGGGCTGCGGGCCTCACTCTGCCGCACCGCCCACGCGCCTGTCTTCCAGGCCTGGGGCACGCGGTGGAGACGCGCAGGCTTCGAAAGGCCCCCCGCGAGTCCTCCGAGATGCGACCTTAGGTCACACTTAAAACCATTAATCAACATGTAAATGTTCCCTGTGATTATTAGACCCATTTCCATCAGTCGTCTGGACACACTGGGTTTATGKACAGTCCAGCAGAGGGCAAAACGTGGGCACACGTATATGAGATCTTGCCGGGCAACCATCCAAAATCAACGAAGAAATTCTTAGAAGGAATATATAGTTTGGGACAGGATGGGGGAAAATATATTATTTTACATATATTAATTCTGGTCCTACCCCAGGAGAAGCAGGAAAGAAAAACAATGACTTTGAGGCAAGAGTCATTATAAACTACTGCCTTTATACATTTGGAAGTGACAAAAATGATAGTACCAGATATACACCTCCAAAATTATTTCTCTGGAAATTAAATAACCGGTTATTTTCTAATTTAAATTTATAAGACAAGGGACTTCACAGTAATAAGCATTTCGGGGGGAAAAAAACTAATTTTTCAACAAGATTAGGAAATAACAAGAAATAGGAAGTAAAACCATGTCCTCCCCCCAGCTAAAAACGTTGAAACTTTGAAAGTAATCTGAGGCAAATTTTTGCATGACTTTAGGTCATGCTATTATTTACAGTCAGTTTCACTCAATTTATTTGTAATCTAATCCACCTTGCATTAAAAAAAAAAGAAGAAAAGAAAATTCAGACAACCTGGATGATCTACATTTCCTTCCTATAGTCAGTCTATCAGCAAATCCTGTTGATTTTTACCTGCCAAATGTTCCTTGAATCTGACCTCTTCTGTCTCCTCCATCACCACCCTGGTCTAAACTGGGAGGTGGAAATAGACCACTGACTTAATCTTCTAATTATCCATATTCCCTCCAGGCCCCCTTTAAACCTCTTCACATAACAGAGTGATTAGCCTTTTCAAAATGCAGTACATTGGCTGGGCATAGTGGCACACTCCTGAAATCCCAATGATTTGGGAGACTGAGACAGGAAGATCCAGAGTTCAAAGCCAGCCTCAACAATTTAGGGAGGCCCTAATTAACTTAGCAAGACCCTGTCACAAAATACAAAATAAAAAGGGCTGAGGATGTGTCTCAGTGTTTAAGCGCCCTTAGGCTCAACAATCCCTGGTACCAAACACACACACACACACACACGCACACACACACACACACACACAATGTGTCCCTGTCACTTCCCAGCATAAACCACTTTAACAGCTTTCCAAACTAATCAAACCCCTGCAGGTCAGGCCCCTTGCCCATCTGTCCATTTCTTCTTAGCATTCATATCACATTCCATCCTGCTCTCTCTGCTTCAGGCACACTGGCCTCTTCTATTCTCCTACTATACTCTTCCAATGGGTTTGCCCTCACTTTGTTCTGTGCCTAGAAATTTCTTCCAACTTTCATTCTTAGCCTCTACTTCTGGGAAGTTATCTTCTGACCTCCCTCCTATGTTGATCCCTTACTTTTATCACTTTGTGTGAAACTGTAACTGTGTAACTACTTGGTGAATTTTCCTTTCTCCTGCTAGACATCTCCATAAGGCCAACACTTGATTTTATTTGATTCACAGGTATATTTTTATATTTGTTCAACACATATTTGTTCAATGAATAAGAATCATAGGTGCTAGAACTTAAACTTGATGTGGCTTAAAGGTTACCTAAGTCACAGGTAAAAATATCACAATTTGACATTTGGAATCAGAGTTGAAAAAGAACTCCAGTTATTTTAAAACATTTTATATTATTTTTGCTAGGCTGTCACAAGATTCTTTGAGTAACCTTTAAAAACAAGTTTTCAAAGCACCTTGTATAAAATCCTGAATTCATAATAAGAACTATGGGATGAGCCCACATGAAACTAATTAACATCTGTTGCTTCTAGAGAGGAAGACTGACCCAGGCTTAGTGTCACATGCCTATAATCCCAGCTACTTGGGAGACTAAAGCAAGAGTATCATAGATTTGAGGCCAGCCTGAGCAACCTAGTAAGACCTTGTCTCAAAATTAAAAAGGACTGGAGATATGGTTCATTGGTAGAGCAATTAGCATGTACAAGGCCTTGGGTTCAATCCCAGTACCACAGGGAAAAAAGGGTAGGAAGAGTGAGTGACTAGTGGTCAGTGGTAGAAAGGAGACTTTTTACTGTATGCCCAAAAGTTTTAAAATTGTACCTTTTCAATTTTCAAGCTTATGAATGTATTAGCTGTTCAAAAATATATAAATGACACCAGGATGCATACTGTACAATTTCATTTATTTGAAATTCTAGAAAAGGCAAAATTAATTGAGATAAAACAATTATAACAAGGTGTAACCCAGTAGTAGAATACATGCTTAGCATGCACAATGCCCTGGATTTGATCCCAGCACCACATGCACATACTCACACACACACACACACACACACACATACAAAAAAAAAAATCCTTGGAAAACCATAGTTGATCTTAAGCTTCTCAGAAGCCCCAATACTTTGCATAGTAACTGTTCAATGTATTTTGAATGAATGATGACAAACAAGTCTGGCATTGACTTTACTGGTTACAAAGTATGTTTATGTGTTTACATATTATATGTTTTCTGGTAACTAGTAACTTCCATATCAATGCAAATGACTAGACTATAATCTAAAAGGTTTTTTGTTGTTGCTGTTTTGTTTTGTTTTGTGTTTTGGAGAGGTATTAGGGATTGAACACTGTGGCACTCCACCACTGAGCCACATCTCCAGCCCTATTTTGTATTTTATTTAAAGACAGGGTCTCACGAGTTGCTTAGTGCCTCGCTTTTGCCAATGCTGGCTTTGAACTTGCAATCCTCCTGCCTCAGCCTCCCAAGTGGCTGGGATTACAGGAGTGCACCACCACACCCAGCTACAATCTAAAGTTTTAAATTTATATTTTAAACATATTTGTATGCATATATGGGTATATGCCAGAAGCCATCCATAAATTTCATGAGGATCTTCTCTCGGTATGGTAGCCAGGGAGATTTAGGTTTGGCATTGCGAACTATCCATGGCTCTTTCACAACAATAGATTGCCCAATGGACATGACCTTTATCTCTACTCTGTTAGGAAGATACCTCAGTAGCTACGGAGATGGGTATAACCTGATGGGAACTGAACAGTCCATCTTTAACCTTTTTTTTGGTGAAGCACAGTCTATGGAAGGCCTTTGATGTTTCCCCATATAAATAAAACAGGCACGGGCTTCATTTTGCCATAGCATAGAAGCTATCTATGCTTGCCTGTCCTGCCCCAGCTTTTGAAACTACTTTCTGTGTCCTGTGGTTTTTTTTGTTGTTCTGTTTTTCTTAGCTTTTATTTCTCAGCCAGCCCATTCCACCAAGGGGAACCCCATTTCCTCCTCCTCCTCCTCCACCACCACCACCCCCGAGCAGGACGCAGAAGAGAGGTATATACCTATAATTTATATCAATTTAGCACTGCTGCACTAAATGTCTGAAATGTATTATCTCAAATGAGTAAGCTTATATCATTAGCTCCGACCTGCCAGCACTATCTCTGGTTTACCCATTTCTTTCCCTCATCCTGAGCACATCAATTTATTTGGTGAAAGAACTTACACTTTAACATCTCACTAAAATAGCTAATTCTAACCTCTCACAAGTGCTTGAGCACTTGCGTAAGTGAAATCCCACTGTGAATTCCACACCAACGCCACCTCTGTTCCAGCTCCTGCCACTCTGCAGTTCATACTCAAGAACCTCACACATCCAGAAGAGGAGGGAGCAGTGCAGTGCACAGCAGCACCCTCCTTAGAGACAATTTTATTTACAGTAAAATTCAGTTAGCATTTCAAAGCTTTCTATTTTCAGATACCACACTTTGTTTGTTTGTTTGTTTGTTTGTTTGTTTTTGTGCTGGGGGTTGAATTCAGGAGACTTTAACCACTGAGCTACATCCCCAACCCCTTTTTTAAAATTTTGAGACAGGGGCTCACTAAGTTGCCCAGTCTGGGCTCAAACTTGCCACCTTCCTGCTTCAGCCTCCTGAGTTGCTGGGATTACAGTTTTGATCCTCAGCACCATACCTAGGCACCACTTTACACTCTTAGCATGGATTTGGTCTGGGAGAAAAAATCCTGTAAACCTGACAAGGGTTAAATCCCATAACGCCGGAAACACTTAAAGGTGTATAAGCCAGCCATATGAGCTCTATTGCTCACAGAAAGGAAAAGCAAGAGAGACATTCCCCCTGAGAGGCCTAGGCATAGATACAGAGGAGGGATTCATTCTGTAAGGTCAAATACACTGGTGTACACTCATCCTTTCCCTGGGCAGCTGCAATTTGCACTTCCTTAGAAAAACAGTGCACTAGAAAGCCGGATTCAGTGGTACACACCTGTAATCCTAGGAATGTGGAAGGCTAATGTAGGAGGATCACACTTTCAATGCTAGCCTGGACAACTTTGTGAGAACCTCAGCAATTTAGCAAAACTCTGTCTCAAGGGGCTGGGGATGTGGCTCAAGTGGTAGCGCGCTCGCCTGGCATGCGTGCGGCCCGGGTTCGATCCTCAGCACCACATACCAACAAAGATGTTGTGTCCGCCGAGAACTAGAAAATAAATATTT